AAAAGGCTTAATAAACTTCACTACATAAAAACGAATTTCTACAATAGTAAAAAAAAAACCAACCCAATAGAAACTGGATTAAGAATTTGCATATACACATCCCAGAAAGAGAAACCCAAATATCTCCAAACATACTAAAACACATTAAACATCACTTACAAGAAAAATGTAATTAGTATGATAAGATACTTAAATTGGAAAAGACCAAAAAAATATGGTAACACAGCAAATCGATAAGTGAGGAAAGGGGCAAGCTCATACAATGCTAGTGAGAGTATAAAATGGCACAACCTCAATGGAGAGAAATTTGGCAATAATTGTTAAAGCTAAAAATACCATACCCTTTGATAAAGCAATGTATCTCTTGGAAATTTATTCTACAAATACACTTGAGCATGTGCAAAACAAAGGATGCATAAATGTATTCACTTCTGCATTGTTTCTAACAGCAAATGAATTGAAATAGAAATGTACATCAACTGTAAATTTGGTAAATGAAATAAATGTTAGAACATCTTTGCATGTACACACAGAACACAGCAAGCATCTAAGAGACAAAATGATCTAGAGAGGAAGACTAGGTAGTAGGCATCAGGGCTCTTCACTGCATACCTGTTGTACTTTTTGAATTTTTAATCATCTGCATACCTGTTGTACTTTTTGAATTTTTAATCATATATAGGATCTATTAAAACTAATTTTTTAAAACTTTTTAAGTGAGAGAAAAATTAGCTAGGGAGATATGCAGGACCCAGAAATTGAACTATACAGGAGACAATGGGAAATCATTTTAAGCAGGGAAATAAGGTTAGATTTGTGCTTTTCAAACCACAGCCACCTTTACAGACGAAAGTTTAATGTTTATACAGAATTTCAGAATCTGCACTAAACTTTCATATTATTTATTCCTCAGATGAAGGAACTAAGATACAAAGAGAGGTTATGTGATTTGCCAAAAATCACTGATCTAGTAAATGGCAAAATCACGTTTCTTTACTAACAACACGATGCAGGTAAGATACCAAGTTAGAAGTCCCCTACTTAGCTTTAGAGTCCTCAAACTAGTCACACTCTATCCCACTGCTGGAGACATATGGGGGCGACAACCCCGCAAACGCTTGAAAATACGGTTAACTTTATAATTAATACACTAGTAAAATTCCCACGAAACACATGTGATTAGGTATACATGGAAAAAGTTCAAGAGACTGTTAAGTGTGGGAGCCCAGGTTCCCCATTCTCGGGCCAGGTGGCTTTCTCCACCAATCCCTGGACAAGTACGAAAGCGACTACAATACAGGGCGAAATGGAACCATGCCTGAAACATCCTACGGGGCAAAGTGGAAGGCGAGGCAGGAAGTCCCAGACAAGGGAAAAGGAAGAGAGAAGCGAGCAGCCTACTCACACTCGTACTTCCGATTGACTGGAGGATATTTGGCCTTGATCGCCTTTTGCTCCTCAGTCAAATTATAATCTCTGACATCCTCCTCTGCCTGCGCCATAGTTGCAGCACTGGGCATGTACTTCCGCCCTTCATTTGCCGGACTTCGGCCTTGATTTACAACTTCCGCTCCAAACCCCGCCCTTTGGACTCTTAAAGGACCAGGAGTGCAGTATCCTGGTAGTACTTTATCCCCTAGGACTTCCGTACTAGGCCCCACAGGTTGGAGCACATCTTTCAAAGGCTAATGTCCTATTTTCTGCTCTTGCTTCATTTATAAACACTAAGGAAACAAATAAATTGGAGGGCTTGGGAGCAGGGGAAACTTGAATTAGACACGTCTAGATCTGGGTGACAGGGACCTTTCCTCTCCTTCTCACCCCCGGAGTTAGTAATTAGACCCGAAAACATCCTTGATTTCCCATCTCAGTATTTTGAAGGGGACGCGAGCCTAACAGCCTTTAAGAAAATGGCTGCCCCCAGGGGAGTGCGGATTAAACCTCACGTGACCTCCAGAGGGCGCACTCCCAGCAACTCCGCGCGCGCGCAATCAAAGGCAGTCAGCTCCAGGCGGTACGGGGGCAAGGGCGGAGCGCGCGCTTCGGGCCCGCGGAGAGACTTCGCGCCTCCGGATAGGCTGTGAACGCAGTTTCCCCGCCTACCCGGCCTATCTCTGCACTCCGATTGGCCAGTGTTGGCGCGAAGGTGCGCAAGTCGGACCTCACGCAAGGCAGCAGGAAACAATAGCGGCCGCGCGCGCATAGCGAGCGCCCGCAGCCTCCCCGCCCCTCCCGCAACGCTCGACCCCGGGATCCCCCCGGCTTGCCTGCCCGCCATGGCCGACAAGGAAGGTGAGGGTGCCGGAGCCGCCCCAAGAGGGCGGGGGGTGCCGGCCTTTCGCTGCGGCCTCGACTCGGCCTAACTGTGAGGGCAGGCCCGACTCCGCTGAGTGCCGTCTCCACCGTCGAAGGCGTGCGAAATCGCCTCGCGGGGCGGGCTAACGGCGCGCCAGTTCTTAGGAGCGGAGGCCCGTCACCGCGGCACGGAGCTGGCGGTGGGGGGCCCCGGCGGGTATTTGGGCCCTCCCCCCGCTCCCTGTCGTTGTTACCCGCCTCTCCTTGTTCTTCGTGCACCGCTGCGTATCCCCAAGGGTTCGGTGCTCGGGCCTCCTCGCCGTTTGCGTAGACCTAACCGCGCACGGGAGCGTGCGCCCGAGGCCCTGCGCCGGCCCGGGAACAGCTACCGAGTCTGGCCTGGATGACCGAGAGTAGTTAAGCCCCTGTGAAGGTGCTCAGCGATGTTGGTACCTCCGCCTAGGGGAGATAGAGAATCTCCTTCGTTTCAGAATGAGGACTCAGGAGCCGTGCGGGTGGCTTTGAAGGGTTGACTCGGTTTTCCGTTTGTGTTCGCTAACAATTTGCTTTTATTTTTTAGCAGCCTTTGATGACGCAGTAGAAGAACGTGTAATCAACGAAGAGTACAAAATATGGAAAAAGAACACCCCTTTTCTTTACGATTTGGTGATGACCCATGCCCTAGAGTGGCCCAGTTTAACTGCGCAGTGGCTTCCAGATGTAACCAGGTGATGTGAATCTCTTGAACATTACTTTGTTTTGCTCTCTGTAGATTTCTCACATTGATTTTCCCAACTTTGCTCTCTAGTCACCCGTAGAGGGAACGTAACCAAAACCTATTGGTGACTTTTTCTAGGCCAAAAAGTAACGCAGAATGTAGTTTTGTAATTTACCTGAAGAGAAGATGTGTCTCTTTTCCTGATACTGAATTGAATAATCATACTATAGTTATAGTTGACCAAATAATGATGTGAAAAGGGTCAACTTTCAAAAAGTGTTATTATGAGTCCAATTCTTTAAAACAAAACGTTTGAATCTCATAGTCATTTTGCTAGTAGCTGGTTTTGAAGTGTTGCCTGCCTTCAGGGAGCACCGTGTAGTTAAGACAGATATAAACTAATAATTATGTGTGCTAAGAGCAGTTTCAGAGTGATACTCAGGATACCTAGAAATAACAACTGAAGGTGGGATGGTTTTCCTGTAGGGGAGTTATACATAGAGATTAATCACATATATTTCTTACATGTGGGAAGCTTTTTCTCTAGATAGAAGAGATAAAATATTTCAACTCACATTTATTAAGTGTCTCCTAGGTGTTACCTATTTGGGCATATAAATTTAGATAAGACACCTTCCTTGCCTTTATTTCATGTGTATGAGTACAGTAGTCCTAATCTATAGGGAATATGCTCCAAGTCCATCCCCAGTGGATGCCTGAAACCAATGATAGTACGGACCCCTATGTGTTTATCTTACACATACACATCTACAATGAAGTTTAATTAATTGGTCCCAGGAAGAGATTAACAACTAATAATAAAGTAGAATAATTTTAACAGTGTATCGTAATAAAACTTAACATGAATGTGATCTTTCTCTCAAAATATCATACAGTATTGTACCCACCCTTGTGAGGAAGTGAGATGATAAAGTGCCTGTGTGGTGAGGTGAGGTGAATTATGTAGGATTTGTGGATGCGATGTTAGCTTCCTATTGCCCTTTTGACATTATCCCCAAGAGGAGGATCATCTGCTTCCATATCACAGTTGACTATGAGTACAAACCACAGAAACCAAAAGCGAGGTTAAGGGAGACTACTGTATTAACAGCAGAATATAATAGAGTGGCACAGATGAAATTTCAGAGGATAAAGATTAAGGTCTCAGGAAAGGCTTCCGGAGGAAGTGACAATGCAAAGATAAAGGTGAACTTAGATAGTACTTATTAGTAGAAAGTTTTAGCAAAACCATTGTGTCTGTTGGGATAACAGGTTTTTTATTATAGAATCTGTTCTTCACTATTCATAATAACATTTAAATTTATATTGTGTATTAACCAAATTCCTTCAAGACTCAGGTCTTTAGAAGTCAAGATATTTGTAAACTGATTATTAGGCTATGCTTCAGCTCAACCAATAATAGAAATTTGATGTTTTATTAGTAACTTAAGAATGAGGCTGCTGCCTTCACAATGACATGAGAAAATGGGGCAATCTGTCCTAAAGATGTTAAACAAAACCATAATACTTAGAAATTCAGGTTGTAAGCTTCTTTATCATGACCCGGAGCACCCGTATTAAACTGAGTATCAGAATTACTTGAGTTCAGGATAGGTAGTCATTTCTGTAAGGAGTTCTCAGTGTTCAAATCGTTCAGCAACTTGTGGCAGAGTACTTAATGAGAAATAGTTGAATGATGGATCCAGATTTACTGTAGTCATGTGCTAAATTATATTGGACTAGTGGATCACAAATATTGGCCACCCCATACTGAATCATTTTGGAACACATTTTTTAAAAGCTTCCTGTATAATGTGATTAACTAGGTTAGAATTAAACTAAATTCCCCAAGGCTGAAGTCTGCACTGTTGTTACCTTGGCTTTCTACTTTAGCAGATCTAGGTAAGTAAATAAAACTACTGTGACATTTGACATTGGTCCAAATACCCTGCCTTTTTCCTTCCTTTTTTTTGTATTCTCATATAACAATGTTAATTTTTCAAAAGATTAGTATTACTTACAAGTAAGCATCCCTAATGTCAAGTGTTTAATATTTTGTGTATGGTTGTTAGTGTTTGTATCCTGTTTTATTATATTTTAATACAGTTGTAGTTCTGTGATCTCGTTTTCCCTTTTCTACTTCCTCTGGTTCTTTGTTTAACCTTCTATATGCACCATTTGAGTTTTATGTTGACAACTCTCTTTTCTTTCCTCTACTTTTTCTGTGTAAGATATAAATGCTTGTCAATTCTTTTCAGAGGAATTCCTATTGGTTGTCTCTAGACCTAACTTCTGAGCTCTTGCTGAATCTTCAGCTGCCTACTAGTGTTTTCTCCGAAGTATCTCACTCTCTTTCCGAACATGACATTTTCCAAATAGTGTATTTCTGTGGTGATCCCACCCCAACTTTCTAGTGTTGCTGTTTCTCTTTATCATCGTTGACTTTGGTTTGAGATTTCCTAGATTTTTCCCTTTCTCTATTTGATGGTCCATTTATAATTTGTGATGAATTCTACTTGTGTTAGCATCTTTCCCATCTAGACCAGGGGTTCTCAAACTTGAGTGTGCATCATAACCAGCTGGAGGAATTATAAAATACAGTTGACCCTTGAACAACACAGATCTGAACTGCATGGGTCCCTCTTATACCAGATTTTTTTGATAAAGATACTGGAAAATTTTTTTGGAGATTTGCAACAATTTGAAAACATTCTTTTCTCTAGCTTTCTTTATTGTAAGAATACAGTATATAACATACAATATATGTGTTAATCAACTTACGTTGTTGGGCAGCTTCCAGTCAGTTATAGGCTTTAGTTAAGCCCCACCCCAAATTTCTGATTCAGTAGGTCTAGAGTGGATCTGAGAACCACCATTTCTAGCTAACGTTTCAGAAGATGATGATGCTATTGATCCTGATACTACACTTGAAGAGCCTCTGCTTCACACCCTTAGATTAATCCTTCTGAGGCACTTCAAATGATGCCATGTCTCTTGGAAATTTTACATGGTCCTTTGTTTCTTATAGTGTGAGTTCCAGAATGCCTTAAGCTGGCATTCAGAATCCTAGAGTTTGATTTCAATCTGCTTTCTAGTCTTCTCTTCCACTGGTTTCCCACATCCAAAGTCAGATTTGGATTTCAGTCATTCTTTTCCTTAGTTGTGTGATTTTAGGCAAGTTGCTTAATTTTCCTAAACCTCAAATATCTTCATCTTTAAATTGGAAAAATATTTCACAGTGTTAATATGGTGTTTAAATGATAAAAGGTATGAAGTGTTTATTAACATGGTATTTGACGCTTGGTAGACTTTCCCCAATGCTCAATTCCCTTTACTTAGAATACTGTTTTCCAAAGCCCTAGCCACTCCTTTTTGGATTTTATCTCATTTTGAGACCTACTCAGGTATCATCTCTTCCATGAACACTTCATTAATTTCAGAAGTAATTTTTCTTACCTAAATTTTCATAGTTTAGTATGTCTTTCACGGTCACGGGTATATATTGACTTGTATTGTAATTATCTGTGTACATGACTGCTTAATTGCCCCTGGTTTTTTTGAGGACAGGAATCATGTCTTAATCATCCTTGACTTCCACTGTATTT